TGCCAATCAACTCAGTTGGCCTCTTCTGGATGAAACCTGGTGGGTCTGTCAGCACACAGAGGGGCCTGACATTACACAATGCAACAGACACCCACACCTCCACAAGAGAATTAGGAAATATGTCCAAACACAGAGCTGGCAAGAGCTTGAGGAGGGAACCCTACAGGAAGACAAGATGGGTCTTACCACTTGGAAAGGCCTCATACACCGTAGTAAGTCTACTTGGAGATAAAAAAATGAACGTATGCAGCATACTTTGGCACGTAACTCAGCTAAATAATGGAAGATTGTTGAAGCAGCAGGACAAACCTTTGCTATGCTAGTATAATCCTAATCCTCGCTCCGGTAGACACATTCAAACAAAAATAAAATTACAACCAATTCACTTTGCAAGAAACAACAATGCCCTGAAGAGGCAGAGACTCTGCAGCATGAAGCGGTCTCGGCGTAGCTAAAGATTTCCGCAGAAGCACCCAGCTCAGGAACCACGAAGACACAGATTCCCAGGACCCTCTAACCGAGTGACAGCACTGACCCCTACAGGGCAAAGGAGGAAGAACAGGAGTCCCCTTCTCATTCTGGGCGGCGGTGGAGAGAGAGGGGGGAGGGGTTCGTCTTGACATCCTGACAGTGCCTGTGAGTTTGTGGGTGTGGGGTTGGTCTGGCGGTGGCGTAAGGGGAGAAGGCCTTCTAATACTGGAGCACGCCACCGACTCCCTCTCGCCCCCCCCCCACACCCCCATGCCCGTCGGCCTCTCCCTCGCTCTGGAGCCTCAGCTTCGTCTCCGCATGTGAACCCCGGGGCTCAGCTACATGAAGGGAGACACAGCGAGAGCTCGTGAGCAACAGGACCGTCAGAAACACAGCCACTAGCGCGCACAGGAGGCCCAAGAATCAAAGCGGGGAGATACCTGTGGCTACCAAATCACAGAGAACGGCCCTCAGAGCCTGGTGTCGCCGGATTTGGGGGGATAAACGACATCGCTACGAACTTAAATTATTTTTGCGATACTTGCCAGGTAAGAGTGGATTAGAGGAAACAAATGAAATCTGAAGCAGAGACAACGTCAACAACTTAACTGGCAGAGCGTGAAGAGGCAGCCAACAAACGGGAAAAACAGGACACGGGAGAACTGGAGACAGCTTGCCAACGCAACTGTAAACCCCCGGTCGGTGTCAAGCCCAAGACAGAAGCTCCAAAGTGGGAAAATGTGAGCCTCGGATATAGAATGGTGTCGGTAATTTGTCAGGTGTTTTTAGTATATCAATTTTGTGTGTTTTTCACATCTAGGCCCACAGCTATGAACCCCACAACCGCACACAGGGAGAATGAGGCCGTTTAGACATACTCCTCCGACCTGAGCCAATCATCTTTGAACACATCACAGTCAGCCCCGCCCTGTATAGGAGGAGCAGTGCTGATTGGAGGAGAGACATGTCTCTCACTGACAGCACCACACGGCTGCAAGCACATCTGAAAGAGGCCTGGTTGTTTAATGCCTGGGTGGTGCGCTACCGCTTGGAGAAATCGCTTGTCACATGACCCAGGCTCGAACCTGCGATCATAGAGCTTAGGGGGACATCTAAGACATTTAAAGCAGCTGACTTCCTGTACGCGGTTAACTATACTTCTCTGGTCAAAAGGTTCAAGGTTCAAATAACCAGGTCTCTGACCTGCAGGTGATTTCAGGAAAGGCCCTGGAGAACAGGAGCCTACAGAAGGCATCATGGCTCCTGGAAACAATGTGATATTCTGTCTTCCCAGTGATTGCAGCTAACCCTTAATTTAACACCAAGAGGCGAGGAAAGGCCAGCAGGACTTGGATGCTGAAGGCCAGGACTTTCAGTGTGTGAATAAAGACTCTTAATAGCAGCTTCAGGGTTTTGTTATTGTTTCCAATCCACAGGTTCACTTAATAATGCAAAGGCAATGCCTTCCTTAAACAGAACCAGTGAGGACAGCTGCAGGCTTGACTAAAACTATTTCTCTGGGGTCAAGACGAAAGAATCTTTTTCAGTCAGCCGTGGTGACTACTTCATAAAATGGCATGAGAAAAACAGCTCTACCGGAGTAAAAAGGGACTGAGGATCTAAAACATCAAAAAAGAAGCATCTGATAGAGGGAAGTACCGAGTCTTTCAAGTTAGCCATCTCGAACTGCACACCCCTGGGTGAGAACTCATTTCAGACACCATCCGTGAAGCACAATCTTTTTCTGACTGGATTTACAACGTTCTGTGAATGCAAGTGGCAGCTAAGCGGACTCAAAACAATTAGCTCCCCAGAAAAAACATCAAACCTGGATTGTCCTTGATAGGTCATCTGTTACTTTTAAACTTTCGCCTGTTAACAAAAAAAAAAGATACTGCGTGCCATCTTTAACCAGCAACTAAATGAGAAGCTGCCTAACACACACTCGGGGATTATGTGAGTGAAAGCTGATGACCTCTGACCTCACGTCAAGCTGCCCTAGATGCAGCTGACTTGAAGCGGCCGCTCTTTGTTAGGGGGTGAAGGCATGAAGGCAGGCTACAGAAACTCCGGCCTGGTCAACCAGAGAAGGATGGAGTGATGCAAATCAGGATGGTTATGATATAATCCTGAAGCATAGAGCCCCCTCACAGATTCAACCCCCGCTGTCACTGCCGCAGTTCTGTGTCTACTGACGTTCAGGAGCACTGGATAGTTTTGGCCCACTTTATAGTTTAGTGCCTGGCTCACCCAACATCCTACACGTGTACTCTTTGACCTCTGACACATCCACGTGTAGCTCCTCGACAAGGCAGGACGGCCTTCTGGGAGCACAAAGAGCTGACCAGACCGAAGACTTGACAAGCCGACAGCAGCCAGCGGGGAAGCTGGGGCGCGTGTCACCACCCAGGTCACCCCGACACACATGCGACAGTGTTCAGAGAAGGCCTCCTGTTCGTCTTTAGGCACCCCGCAGACAGAATGAAAAACTAAAGCCTAAAACAACAATCATCACCCTTTTGTTCAATCGATTTTCCACCGCACCCATCTTTTCTCAGTCGCTGCTATACAACTTAAAGCTAGAATACGCTGCACTGTGGTGTCCAGGAAACGTCTCGCATTGAGCACAAGCCGACGCTTTGTGAACCTCTCCTGGAACGTGAACATGGAGAGTGGATGCCGCAGTGCGTTCGGACGAAACAGGAGGAGGAGTCTGGGCGTGTTGAGTCACGCTGTGGATGCATGAAGTTCAAATAAGAGGCTGGTGGACTCGCTCGTCTTTACCAACATGGAACGGTTTCCGTTAGCAGTCAGTTTCGTTTTGACGTGACCCGTCTTGCTATCAGGTTATTCATCCATGGCTGCAGCTCGAGAGGACTTAGCCGCTGCAGTAAGAAGCTCAGCAGTGAGGTGATGAGCAGGATCGAGGCAGTAACAGTGTTTATGGGTCATTATCGGGCTTCTAGTTTGCTTATTTGTTGCTGCTCCTTGGCATTGATTGAAGTGGTGAAGATACACATTTCTAAAAAGTTTTCTGCAACATTCCCACCCTTCCTACTAGAGGAAATCCAGGATTCAGGTCAAATCACAGTGCTGAACTCCAGATTCTTTTAAAGGCTGGCCTCAGTCTAAGCCAGGCAAACTTAAAAACAGAGCTGGGTTTGCAATCAAGAAGAAGACATCAGTCCCAGGCAGGCTCATTCAATTCCTCTTCTAGGACTGTCTCTCTCTCTCTCTCTGCGAGAACAACTTGGAAAGGTCGCAGGAGGCGGAAAGTATATTCCACAGTCAAAACAGAGGATTCAGAAATTGTGCAAGGAGGACAAAACAAGAGGGGACAAGTTCTCTAAAAAAAATCTTAATAAAAAAAGTTCCCCTGTTGTGCTGAATCACACACGTTGCCCCCTCCTCCCCCTGTCCAGTCACTAATCGGGAGGTTTGAGAGGAAAGCAGTTCTTCAGAGCGCCTCACAGTGGTCAACGCCTGCTAAGACAGGAAGAGCACCAGATGGGGGGAAAAAAAAAAAAAAGACTGCACAGCTGCCATGAGAATAATCAACAAGGACTTTCAAGCATGAGAGTGGAAGAAACACGACACACAGATTCTTCCTGGGGAGTTTGGAGGAATGCTGGCTGCTGTTTGCCTTGGGCTAGTGCCTGCGGGAGAGACGAATGGTGCACTCAGGAAAGAGGCCCTGCCAACTGTACGTCCTGGTGTCAGAGCTCAGTGGAATGGGTAGCGGCCGGGAAGGATCATCAGTTTTGGCAAAAAGCAACCTTAAAGAGATCGAACCTTACTTCACCCAGAAATCCAGCTGCGGAAACATCTGAGCTCTGGCAAAGCCACTCAGTTTAGGATCTCCCTGCGAGTGCTGGGTGCAGGTATTCCACTTTTACCAATATCACCTGTGTGTTTCACACGTCTGACTGGGGAGGGGGGGGGGGCTGAGGTCAGGAGCAAGCTAGCCCAAGGTGCGGACGGTGGGAAAAACAGACTCGAAAAGGACGGAAGAAGAAATCGCCGAGCAGATTGGAAGGGACAGTTAGTCCGTGGAAAGAGCAGCAGCAATAAGTAGGGTTACAGGAGCAGAGGGTGAGGAGGGCAGTGAGGAAAGAGGCTGAGGGGCGGGGGGGCTACACGGCGCTCTGAAGGGCCAGTACGTGGCAGAGGCCAGAGGAAGAGGAAGCAGGGGGTGGGGGACAAGGGGCGGGCAGCCCCGAGGGGTCAGGGGGTGGCCCGAGTCACAGTGAGAAAAGGCACAGAGCAGGAGGGGGGGCAGTGGCCGGCTCAGAATATGGTGGTTTCGTACTTCGTGCTGATGGTCCGCTTGGAGTCTGTCTTCTGGTCCACGAGCCAGGTGGCGCTGCCTTGGGATTGGGAGTCAGTCTCAAGCTCCAGGGGCTCCATCTACAGGGCGGAGGGAGAACAGCAGGGCATAAAACGGTCGGTCAGCAGCAGCCGGACACATTTGTTTTGTTTGACATGGCCGTGGTGTGAATGTGTCCTGCGCGTTCTCACTCTACGCCAGGAACAAACCGCTCCCGCAACAGACTCCCCGGACGCGGCCGAGAGGACGCTGGCCCTCCTGTCCTGTCCACTCCATCGCAGGAGCTGCCATTCCCAGGCCTGGTTTTCTTCCAGCGGGCTGTCTGTCCACTCTAAGAGCCTTCACCCTTCACACGTTGCGCAAGCGCTGCCCTCGCCCAGCCCTCTCCGCACACAGACCTCGTCTCTTCACCTGCCCGGTTCTGGAAACACGGATAATCTCTAACCGGACTCACCCGCCCTCTCGGACCAGCAGGGGAAGAGACGGACAACACACACGCACACCCTCTGAAATGTGCCACGTCAAGGCCTCCTGCTCGTCTGCGCCTCACGAGCCTCCAGTGACAACAGCACAGCTGAGGCACCAGACAGAGGACCGATGCAGCTCATGTCCACATTGCCACAACCTGGCCTGATACGCTCTGCACTTTCAGAACCTCAGCAGACAGAGGCAGTGTCGACTCAGATCAGTGACCTCTGCGCTACAAGGGCCCAACGGCACTGCAAATTGATTCTTACTTGAGCCTCTCAGGAGCTTCTGCCTGGCCAATGCAAAGCGAACCCACTGAGCCATTACTCCACTTGCGCTGTACTCAAATTGAGTGCTATCCTAACCACCGCATGTAATGACACACCCTCACTGCTTCTGCTTCCATTCCTGCTGACAAACTGAAGCTCTGTGACCCTCCATGATCAAACCTCGCGATGCACCAAGATCTACCAACTCCGCTAAGCAGCCTCCACCTCTCTTTCACTTTTTTCCCCCCCTTCTGTCTGGCTTGTGACCCTCGGATCGTGTTGGACGAACACTTCCACGCACAACACACACGCGCGGACACAATGGGCTCAAGCAGGGGTCTCCAACCTGGATCATGGTGAATGCAATCTGGCAGATTGCATCAGACATCATTAAAGAAAGAAGGTTCAAACAGTCTTTCAAATAATGCAATTTAGAGAACACTGGGAACAAAAATCCATAGCCCCTCAATGACAAAAGCGACTTTAAATTGATTCATTGCGTGTTCCTAGTCTTTGCAAATGTGATTTTCTAGGGACGCGTGAGATGGCGCCGATAGGGGAGGCCTAGAAGCAGGATTAGAGACCCCTGATGTAAAACATGACCAAGCAGCCAGAGCTCAGAAATAACACAAGAAAAATCAGGAGAGCAATGGGGTGCTTGAAGATACAGGAACAGGGTAAAGATCAGCTGGTAAGAGGGCGAGAAACAAAGGGAGGAGGAATGACAGCGGGAGGCAGTGAAGGAGGCCGAGCAGGAGAGACAGAGAGAAAGCAGGACCTGAGCTCCGGGGCTGACAGAGCGCAGAGGGAGGTAGGAGGGGCGGTGAGTTGTACACGTGTGACAGTAACAGCAGCGGCTCTCAAGCAGAGGAGCACCCTGGGAAACAGGAGGAACCGAAAAGACAAACACAGAGAGAGACGTTAATGTGAGGCAACACGCAGGTTAGTCAAGCCTTCGTCCCACTGAGGGGTGTGCAGAGGACGTTGGGGGGGGAAAACTTCAGTCTTTGCCCTTTTCTTTTAAAATCACAGTCCTGTCATTCAGGTTGCTGATCCAGTCAACAGTATTATCACCTTGCACCTTCCACTGGAAGAAAGATACGGGTGAACACAAATTTTTTATGTGCCCAGCAGATGAACTGCTGATTCCCCTCATATCTACTTGTTCTGAATTTATTTTAACCCTATATAGTATTTTGGCAGCCTGTCTACAGAGTAGCAGAACAGGGACACGCAGCCCCTGTGCCTTGGGCATCCTGAAAGGATAAGGAGGATGAGTTAGCCACTAAGCCTCTGCACACCCCTGCAGTCACAGTCGCTGGGCCACAGGTCAGGAGGACAGATCAATTCAACAGATCACACAAACACATGATTCCTTGACATCAGCCACAAACACTAAGACAGGCACAGTATATTAGGAGCACTGTGAATAATCTGGCTGTAGACCAGACACTAGAGGGAACAAGATGTTTCTCAAAGCTTATTTTGACACCAGGATGAGTGACTGCCGATCTGTAGATTTATTTGAGTTTTTCTTCAATGGGCTTCTCAGTAACACTTCCTTGGCAATTCCAGGCAAACAGCCCCCATCACGGAACTGTGTGCTTAGGCCTTTGAAACAGACGTCAAACCTTTGTTCATTTTCTCACTGTCAGGCTCTGAAGTATCCCATAAAACACTGGAAAAGCAAGCACTGTGCCAGCCAAGGTTACAGTGACGCTAAATGTGATGAGTACCTTCATCCAACAGGGAAAAATTCTGATCAGCCGAGAAAGACTTGGCTCAGCCATGGCCCTCCCATTTCCAACAAGCCCGCTTCATACAAGAGGAAAGGAGGATGACCCCTCTTGGCCCAACCAGCATGCAGGCAGTCGCAGGTGTGGGACGTGCCACATGCTCTTCAGCCTTGTACTGCAAGTGGGCAAGTCTCTGCACATGGGAGTGGCCAATGCAAATGGGCGTGTCCACACATGTGGGCGTGTCCATGTGGGCGTGTCTCTGTGGGTGGACATGTCCTTGTGAATGGGTGCCACTATAAGGGGGGCGTGTCACTGTGGGTAGCCATGGTGAAGCAGCACAACAACATTACAGGAGCTGCTGTTAGTGAGGTATTTGGCAACTCCAAAAACAGAAAAAAAATCAAGACAGCAAAGGACTATAATATGCGCTAGTTGTCAACAGGAGAAGAGACAAAAAGAAGCACTGGCATAACAGTAACAATCAAAACCCAAAGCAACTGCAAAGCATTTTCTCTTTCTAAAATAAATGCCATTTAATGTTAAGAGGCTTGCATCCGATTCTCAGAAAAGAATTGTGTGTTGTGTATATAAATGGACTACTGTGACAAATTGCAGGCCGTACGGTATTGCCACTTAAAACAGTTAAGATCATTACAAGTAGCTAAAATACAATTAGTATGGACCAACGATTATCATTCCCGGAGTGGACTTCAGCAAGCTTGTTAATAGAATGAAGGAAGAAAAAAAAGTCAAAGATCATATTCTTATTTTGCTATTACAGTAGGATTTCCTCATATATAGAATACAAAACATGATAACATTTTCAATTACTCTTGGTGGACCACTGAAATTTCACAAAAACATGTAGCAAATCGTTACAACATATTCAAAGTGCAGACAAAAGAACAGATTTTATATGAGCTAAATGAAAATCTGCAATGCCAGAAATGAGACAATGTTTTGTCGGGTCTTAATGTGGGTTGTTCTCAGTAGGTTTAAACCCTGATACTGCATGGACGGAGCTGGCTGATTATTAACATCTCCAGGTCAACTCATGTTAGAATTCAACAGTTACCTAGATCATAATAACTGGACAAATTTGAACTTGAAAGCAGCAGAGTGTAGCGCTACAATGTGTAAGGGATTTAGAACTCTAGATTTCCATTCCTGTTAAGTAGTGCAAGTTCACCAAATAAAAATTCATTGGAAAATAATGTGGAATCTATACACGACTTGTTTTTAATTCATAGTGACAAGGACTCACTCGCCCTGTGTTAAAATGCCTATAGGATCACTCATATTGAGAGGCCACTGGTTGATTTAATACAGAAATCCCATTATGGAAGTATTTAAACATCTTGGGAAAGGAAACTACAATCGGAGTCTTGAAGATGATGTAGTGTCAGCCTATAGCTCTCCAGGGATGTTCTGGAATCTCAAAGGCATCTTCAGGAGCCAGCCCTGTAGATCTGGGATTTCCAATCCCAGGATTTTGGAAGAAAATGTTGCATTTATTGCTCACTTCATCCTCCGTCTCGCATGAGCCCCATCGAGGAATTAGAGTTGAACAGGAACATGATTCGGAGACAATTCTACTGGGATTCCACTGCGGCTTTGCATCCTCCTCCACCTCATACTACAGTGAGTCTACAGTTCAGCGACTCAGCACTGGAAAGAGTCGAGTCATCGCAGATACACCCGTCCTAAGTGCCTGGAGGGGCGCCAGCCGCCGCCTCGCCAACACCACTCACCGCCGACTTCCGCACGCTGCCCCGGGGCTTGGGCACCGGCCGTGTGGATTTGGTCTCGATGACCTCTGACCCCGTTGCCGAGGTGACGCCGTGGGGCTTGGTGCGCTGGGCCTGCAGAGCCAGTTGGTAGGCTACCTCAAACGCCTGTCCCAAAGTCAGGATGATCTCATAGGTCAGGTTCTGCGAGAACAAAAACAAGAAACAGCAAGAACACGGTTAGAGAATACCAAAGCACCAAGTGATGATAAATTCTAACTTGTGTTAACACTTGACTATAATACATAGTCTACATCTCGTATGGATACAGACTAATAAAAAGGCCTCTGTAGCCCTGATTGTTGTCAATGCACCCGACAAGAGTTTGTGCAAGTTAGTGTTGGACATTTGCCTTGCAAAACAATGGGTGAATAACTAGGCTTCTTATTGATATTTAAAATCTATATACTGTACATAGACTGTAACACTTCCCAGATCTTGGCAGACTCCACTGGCCTGCTGTGTAAATGTCTTTTCATATTTAATGTTATATAAGCAATAAAATCCAACGACTTGATCACAGAACACACTGCTCAGTTCACGCAGGACTAAGCACCATCTTCACAGGACCAACGCCAGCTGCCCTGAGTGCCCCTGACCTTTCAGTCAAGAGCCCAGAAGGTGAAACTGCCTAGCTAGATCCATGGCATAGCCTCACAAGCAAGACCTGTGAGGTAAAAGACAAAAAACTCCCAGGGGTCTCTGGACTGTCTCAGGACATCCTCTCATGCTCCGAAGGACCGAACACCTAGTTCGCATTCAGAAAGAGCTTGGGAAAAAACGAGGGACTCGAGGAGCCCTGGTTACAGTTGTTCAGGCATCGTACAGGGGCGTCTTCAGAATGAACAACCCTAACCCTGCTCTGGCTCCATCATCTCTTAAAGTCAGCAGAAAATTTGAGGAAATGTGCATACACATGCCAGCAATCGAATAAAAAGCTGTCGAAAAGAGAGAAGAAATAATCTTATCCCTCTGAGATGTTTTTTTTCTAAGCGTGGCTGTGGAATCAAACACAGAACCAGGCTTTCGACCTCCGATCTCCTGCTAAGCTGGTGTCCAGCAGGACCGAGATTGACCCGGCTTGAAGACGAGCCAGTGAGCACAAAGAGGTGACTGCAACTGAACGGCATCCAGCTGGGAAAAAGAGAAGCGAAACGACCTTCATCCAGATCACAGTTCCAAAATCCCCGGAAGGTCACATCTGTGCCCTTGAATCCCCAAGAGGGGACGCGGTAGATCCACAGTGTTCCATTAGGATTCAAGGATGGAATACGAAAGCACTCTGCCCACGGCAAGCTTGTGCTGATCTGGGCAAAAACGCTCCTTATCTCCACAGCTCTAATTTTTCATAAAAGATGCCCTTGAGAGAGTGTCATTGAAACTAGAACAGACTCACACAGACGATAACTAGCTGTTACTTCGGCAGAAGACAAGAAAACATCCATTTCTGTCTTCCCAGGTATAGAAGACATATGTGTAAATTAAAAGGGAACTTCTTGGAGATACACGTTTGAGCTAAGCACTGGATGCTTTTTCAAATGCTATTAAAACATTGCATTTGCACTCCTGTATAAAAGAGGGAGGATGGACTCTATGTTGTCCACTTTTCGAGTCCCTGCTTAGCTCGGAGATTACTAGCCTGAGAAGTGGTGTACTGGATCACAGCTGAGTCTGTAGGCTTTCTTTCCAGCTCAGCTCTGAACTACCCAGTTTCAGCATCTTCAGCCTAGTTGGATCAGTTGAACTGCTCTCCCTACTTTTTTAAAATGTATAATACCATGGCTTCAACACAGGGAAATCAGGCAGGGACAGACAGGCATCGTTCTCTTCCCGACGTGCTACAGGTTCAGCGACACACAGGAGGTTTAGCGCCAACTGGAGGCGCACAGGGATACTGCAGGTGCCTGGGAACTCTCAAGGCTCTCTATTTCACTAGGAATCTCAATCGCATTCTCCTGCTCCCACCAGAACGTGGCTGCACTGCTGCTGCTTGTGAAATTCTGATTCCAACCTGCGATATCTGAATCACCGAAGTGTTAGACTAAAATGCCTGATATAACTTGATGAACTAACACCCTCTAGACTGAGGACTGGACATCTATTCTTCCAGTTGAGGGTCGCAGGAGAGCCGGAGCCTATCCCCGCAATCAACGGGCACAAGGTAGGATACACACCTGGAAGGGACGCCTGTCCATCACAGGGCAGACAATGACACAGACATATAGTCACACCAGGGCCAATTTTCCCAGAAGCCAATTAACCTGCCAGTCTTTGGACTGTGGGAGGAAACCCACATGGGGAGAACATACAAATTCCCCACGGATATCACGCTAGGTTTGGAATTGAACACGGGATCCACTGTGCAACTGTCCTGCACAGGACTGGACATCCCACATTAACATGATCGCAATTCCCACTTTTCCCAAACCCCCACAGGGGATGACTGAAGGAGTCCTGTCAAGGCCTGGGAGAGCTCATGCGGCTGTAATGTTCCTCGGATTAAACAACT